CACACCATGGGTTAGACTGGTGTATTCCTCGAGTATATTATACTCGAAGTACTCCTAGTGAAATATTTCTATCTAGACCATGAATTAAATCGAGTTTGAGGTGTGATACTATACCCTAACCTCTAATGGATAAACCTCAGGCACCGATTCTCTAAACTCAAACCCGAAGTTCAATTTAATAAAAATATTAATTGACCGTTAAGATTGGTCGGAGCTCAGAATAGGAGTTTTAACGGTGATATCACATGGAGTATAGTATACTCCTGGAGTACACCAGTCATTAACATATATATATATATATATATATATATATATATGGGTGGTTCTATCGTACCTTGGATAAAATCTAGGGTACGGTATACTTTGAGCAAGAAAACACTATCTCGACCTCAAATTGACCAAAGTTTGACATCTAGTACTATTCCCAAACCCTTAAAGATAAAAATCTAGGTCTTAATTCTATAAATCTCATACATTAAGATCAATTTAATTAGAAACAAAAATCGACGGTCATGATTCGTCGAAATATATGCAACAAATTACATGCACAATCTTAGGGGTTAGGCTCTATGATTTTGAAAACTAAGACCTAGGGTTCGCTCATCATAGGTTAGGGTATAGTATCATGCCAAGAAATCTGGTTAATTCGAGGTCTAGATAGCGTCTTCTTACTCAGGGTATGTCGTACCCTAGATTTTACCCAAGGTACGATAGAAGCCACCATATATATATATATATATATGGTGATGACTGATGTACGTCAGGCGTATAGTATTTCAATTTCAAAATTACTTTTGCAATGTTGAATTAATAACCAATTCGTATTTCAATTGCAAAAAATCAAAGAGACTCTTATCGACTATATCAAAAGAGGATAGAGTTCCGACACTAATCAAATAATCATGTACAAATGAAGAGAAGACACATCTTAGGCATAAGAAACAAAGACATGCAAGGCAGAAAGTAGATCTTTCTATACATATGTAGCTGAATGATATAGCATTAAATCACTCATAAACAGAGTACACCATAGTCCCAACCTCTTTAATTCATTTCTCTATATAAGTTTCATAGTAATTTATTTTCCATGTTTGATTAACATCATCATGGCAAGGGCAAAATCAAAATAAAAGGGTGTTCGGAAGTATAAATAATTATGCAGACAGCAAAGATGTGGTCACTACAAGAAAACTATTGTTTAGTGTCGGTTATTTCTAATGTTTAGTGTCGCTTATAACCGACACTAAACAATTTCGTGTCGGTTCACTTAACCGACACAAAAACGGCCGACACTAACCTGATTCGTGTCAATTCTGAGCAACCGCCGGAATAACCGACACAATTTTTTTATGTCGGTTATTTTGAGTCGGTTTAACTAACACTACACATTCATTAAGAAAAATTGATTTCGAAAATTAATTAATTATTTATGTCGGTTCAACCGACTCAAAATAACCGTCACAAATTATTAGAAAAAAAATAAATAAATAAAAGCTTCCCACGGAAGCAATTGTCGCTTGGTCTCCAGATTTGGGGAAGATAATTCCCCCCAAAGCCCAAAAAACGATAAAAAAAAATATATTTCCATCTCTTCTTCGTCGATCTCTGCAATCAGCACCGCACCCCTCCGCCTCCCTCGCCGCTCGACTATTCTTCTTCTTCCAGCCACACAGTTGCACCGCGAATTGTCGTCTCTATCTCGAGCTTCGTCTAGTCGCCGCCGTGGGTGAAGAATCGGCGGAAGCTAGAGGAAGGGGGAAGAAGATTGGACCGCCGCCGTCGATTTGCCTCGGAACCTTGCCTTCCTCCCCTCCATCTGGAACTGTAGCATCAGAGAAGCAGAGTCCCGCTTACCCTGTTTACTCACCAGCCGTCGTCGCCTTCTCGCCCTCCCGCCAGAATCAGCTCTGTTCCCTACAGATTGAAAAAAGAAAAGAAACCAACTGGTCTCGCCAGAATCAGCGCCAGAGCAAACTCGACCGCTGTTCTCCAAACCCAAATCTGGCGACCCACCGACAGATCTGCGTTTTCCCCAGTCTTCGTCCCTCTTACCCTTTCTCAAATTGCCCTTCCCAAAAGCAGATTGTAGGATGTAGCCAAGGAAATTTTAGTTAGGCGCAGGTTGTGGGAGAGGGAAACGACGCCGGCAGAGAATACAGGAAGCATATGTTGTGGAGGGAATCGACGTCGATGGAGGTAGATCTGCTAGGGGCGGCGACGGTTGAGGAGGTGGTCTGGCGTGGATCGGCTTGGATGGAACTCAGGTGACAGAGAGAGATCCTGTCGGATCGACGACGGCAAGGCGGAGGGGCTGATGTGGAAGGGATGTGTCGTCGCCTTTGTTATGGAAGAAGAGGGTAAAAAATGGTGAAAGACGCAGAGTGAGGTCGATGAATATGAGAAGAAGAAGAAGAAGAAGAAGAAGAAGAAGAAGAAGAAGAAGAAGAAAGATTTTATTTGATCTTGTATTGGAAAGGGAAAATTTCAATTGTTAAGAGGGGGAACTTTGGGCGGCCAGTGGAATTTTTTAGAGCCAAAACCAAGTTAAATTTTGTGAAAATTTCAAAATTGCCAGAATTTGTGTCGGTTAGAAAAGCAACCGACACAAACCTTTGTAAATTGTGTCGGTTAGGGTATCAACTGACTCAAATCGCTTAGAATTGTGTCGGTTAAAGTTGAAACCGACACAAATTTGCTAAATTTTGTGTCGGTTGAGTAACCAACATAAATCTTCGACGCAAAATAAAAATTTAGCGTCGGTTAAGTGAACCGACACTAAATGTCTGTTTTCTTGTAGTGGGTACAACTACAACTGGCACACGCAGCGATGGGAAACCTCCAGATGGGATGGAAAAATCGTTTCCAGGAGAGTTGTGCAACCTATCAGTGCAACCTCAAAATTGAGCCGGCTTTGTAATACAAAGCTCAAACAAAATCCAGCACACAGCTAAAGACGTCTGCAACAACTAAGGAGTTTTCCAGATTCAGTTTAATCGAATCAATGCATAAAAGTTAAATCGAATCAAGAAGAACTAATCATGTCCCTTATTTAAATAGATGAAACCACATTGTATTAGAAGCATGGAAACTAACGCACCTGTGGAACTCGCAAGTATTTGCTGGCAGTCTCGAACTGGAAATCTTTCTGAAATCTAAGATTTTAGTAGATTGGGAGAAACCGAAGTTCAATGATAGCAGGCGTAGTTCGATTTAAATGCGTATCTCTCCACCGGCGACTGGAGCTTCTCAGAGGCCTGATAAACCTTCGCTGCTGTTGATGAGAGGAAAGAAAATATAAATGTGAGATGCTGGCAAAATCTTGAGAATCAACTCTTGGGGATGAGAATAATGTCGGTCAGGCAGATAGGAGGACAGCCAAACCCGACCATGCAATGAACCAGTCTTCGATTGATGTCTTCGTCGGGAACTGAACAGAGGCGCCGAAGGGAAGAGGAAGCGGAAACGTTTTGTGTTTGATAGACTGTATTTCTATGGTTTTAAGTGAATGTGTGTTCTGGCCAGCCAAACCCAACTAATGTGCCTCTATCAACAGCCCAAACTTAAAACTAGCCGGCCAACGGGAGAACGCGCCTGCTGCACTGTTGGGCCTCTTCGGTGGTCGTAATGTTGGTTGTTTCTGATCTCAAGCCCTCAACTGCAAAAAGAGTTCTTCAATTCTTCTACTCGTCGGCCCCTAATTAGATAGAACTCTTGGCCGACTTCGATGGAATGGGCCACGAGAAAGTCCAATTATGGTTTGGTGTTTCCCAATGGAGACCGCCACTATTATATAGGTAAGTGAATGTGTGTTCTTCTCCATTTTTTGATGTGGTAGAAATAGAGAATAATGTATGCTCTTCTTCCATGTCCATCCAATTAGCTTCTTGTCTCCTTTTCCTTCGAATTGGTCTCATGGAGAATGATTTTACATGGATTGGGTTAGTGATATTGGCTGAAGATTTTAACTAATAAGAAGACCTTCACTATTCTTATCAACTCAAGTGCCATTCTTATAGTTTGTGTTCTACGCCTTTATATATGGTGCCCAATTAGACATTTACAAAAAAATTACAACCTCTAAGGCAATAAAATATGGACATAGAATTATATAATTGATAATTGAACCCTAAACCCTAAACCCTGAACCCTAAACCCTGAACCCTAAACCATATGCCCTGAACCCTGAACCCTAAACCCTATACCCTGAACCCTAAACCCTGAACCCTGAACCCTAAACCCTGAACCATAAACCCTGAACCCTGAACCATAAACCCTGAACCCTGAACCCTAAACCCTGAACCATAAACCCTGAACCCTGAATCACCAATTTCTCATACAAAATTTTCACTACCAATCTGTAGAATTCGAGCAAACTTAACCTAACCAGTTATTTAGTGAATCTGTATAAACCCGAAGGTGTGGGCGGGTATCCACGGGTCGATAGTGATGGCAATGGGGCGGGGGCGGGTACCTCAGTTCTTGAACGGGTTTAAACCCGAATCCTAAGTAGATCTTATATCTTAGATTTGTTAATGCTAACACACCAAGTTCATATTTTGATATTGCACACGATTTCCACTTGTACATATACATTGATATCACATCGTACATACTTGATACATGGTCTAATGTGGGTTTTTAGGTCAAGAACCTTGAACAATAGAGTATTAATCTAATGAACTTATACGAAAAAAGAACCTCGTTTATATGAACGGTAACTTTAAACAATTTTCTAGATACTTAAATTGAGGACATAGGTTTAGAATTTGAAAAAAAAATAAAGAAACAATGAATATAAATTTTCATTCCCCCAAACTATCCCGCCATTTATTTGTTTTGGATTTTCCCAAACCTTTAACCAAATAAAAAGATTTTCCCACCAAATCATGAATTTATTAATTTATGCCGCTTTGAAATAGGAAAGGCTAATTAAACCACAAAGAAAAAAAAAGGAAAGGCTTGACTGGATGGAACACGATGTCGTACAGGACAATAGAATGAGGGTAACTTTACCTTCCTCATTCGCATCCTTCATTCTTCCTCAGATCCACCCATTTCCTCACCATCGTTCCAGTGCAAAGGATAACGAAACCAGCACGAAAATCCCAAATCCTACCCTAAAAAAACGATAATCCAACGATGGAGCTCCAAACAGAACCGCGACGGAACGCGTGCTTGGACTCGCCCAGAAGGTCATGTTCGCTCTTCCCTCTCTGCTCTCTCGATTCCATTATAGCTTGACGATTTTGGTTTCTCATTTCATTTCATCTTGGTTGGCAAGTTGTTCGGATTGCAATCATGTTAGGAACATGCACGGCCAAGGCGTCAACCAATTCTTTGATTTGAAGGTAGCTATTTTTCTCTAGATGAAGGTAGCCCTAGAATCAATAATTTTCTTCTTCTTTCATTCTCAAACATTAAAAGGGTGAAGTACTTTGGTTGGATTTTCCAAAGCCATATGTTTTTATCTACTAGTAATATAATTTTACTGCCATTGGTTGGCTGAATTCGTCAGCTGTAAATGAACTTATGGCCATGTAATTCTTGTGGTCCATCTTGAGCATAGTTATTGTAGTTTAAAGGAAGTTCAGTTTTGCAACGTGTGCTCAGCTCTTGATTCAACATGAAGTTCTTCGGGTGATTTTTTTATGGATGAAACTTGTTCTTTCCAAGTGTGGTATTGAGTAGAAGGGTGAAACTAATGATTCCATTTGCAATTGTGATTATTGTAATGTGAAGCAAAGTAGACTTAGAGTGGTGGATGCGACGAGTTTGGCGTACTGGTACCTATGGTTCTATCGTAGCTGTCAATAGAAACTGTTACTTAATCTTGTTTCTTCTAGTTGTTTTTCTAATATCTAGGGATGTCATTCTGCCCTTTCATGTTTGTCTCCTTATAGAGGACAAAGAGGTGGCCTGCTGGCAATTTTCTGCTTTTCTTCTCAGTTTTCCTTGTACTAGTTGTTTGGTTCCTTATGTTGATCTCTCAATTTCTTAATCTTGAACTCAGTTGACAACTGGAAATAACTGTTTCCGTGTTAATTACTGTTCAAGTGCTTGTTCCTTACTTCGGCGTGTATTCATTCTTGTTGGTACCAAGTCATTCTATTGACTGCTGGCTAAATTCATGTTGTGTGAGTTGATGCTTCGTGGCTGCTGTATTGTCCATGTAGATTATACATTTTTACATAAATAGAGCCTTTTATTATCATGTAGGATAATTATTTCGAGGAAGCCTTGAAGATGAGAAATCTCCTTGAGGAATTCCATCACGATCATGGTATCCGCCCTCCAACAATCCTTGGTGTCAGGAAACATGTATTTACTGGAAGGTGCATTTCTTCAAACTTTTCCCGAGAAAAAGATTTGAGATATCATTCCCACTCATGTGATTCTTAAATTTGTTTGTTCACAGTGTATCTTCTCTAGCCTCATTTATGCCAAATCAAGAAACAAGCTTTGTAACTCTTGGCCAGCAAGTTCTATCGAACCCCGATTAAAGGATGGTAGTGTCCAATAACATGAATACCATCCAAATCCAATAATGGATGGTAGTATCCAATAACATGGATATCATCCAAATCCCATTATGGATGGTAGTGTCCAATAACATTGATACCATCCAAATCCAATAATGGATGGTAATGTCCACATCATGGCTACCATCCAAATCTCATTATGGATAGTAGTGTCCAACGTTATGTACACCATCCAAACCCTATAATGGACACCATCCAAACTCAAAGTGGATGGTGTCATCCAACAACATGGATACCATCCAAATTATTTTTTTGTATGGTGGCCATCTAATTGTTCATACATGGTACGTAGGGTTGATTGTCTAGGGACATGATGACGTGTCGAAGTTGGTTACCAGAAGCAACAACTGACTTGCAAAGGACGCTCGGAGAATTTACTGGATGCTACGTGGAGCTGATTTTCGGGAAGAGAAAGAAGGCGGTTAGAGGGTGAGACACAACAAAACTTGCAGCAGGTCTTTGGAGGAACGATAGACAAATCAAATCACAAACCGTCTCGGCAAAATTTATATTTTCTCTTTAGAACAGTAACCATAGCAGTAGCACCAGGGACCCTCCAACGAGGCTTCTCTGTTTGTGGTAGTCAGTAGTTGCGGAGCTCTCAAGGAATCTCCATAGGAGTAGAGGTAAAAGTAGACAGATCCTTAGGTGTATGCATCGAACATCCTCGTTCGAACAGTGTTTGAAGATGTGTGAACCGAGTAACATCTTTTAAGTTGTGACGTGCAAAAAACTTTTTTGTCTATCGTTAGCCTCTATGGTAGAATCAGTCGGGGGGCCCGAGAGGCAGTGGTTTACCCTGTGGCGGATGTTAGGGGCAGGCTTTCTCCCCAAAGCATACTTTTGCTTGTTCGCCATAGCACAAGCTGATCACACACTGTGACGTCGAGCACTTCAGAGGAAGCGCAGTTAAAAAATTCCTAAGCGCATAAAGCAAGATTCGGAACTTTAGTTTAGTTAAGGTCATCGTTTCATCCGCCCGTTCTCTTTTCTTGAAGTCAGGGTGCATTGATCACGCGAAATTCCACCTAAAACACGAACCAAGAGAAGTGGATCTCTGTCTTCAAGCTCTTCAATCCGCTTCCAAGCCGAGGGTTGCACATCTCCAAAACACCTAGGTCAACAAGGTGAAGCAAGGAGAAGACAAGATGAAACCATATAATTTCAACCTCCTTTACCATTTAGCACTGATCATCTCCAGATCTGAGTAATCAGAACGGAGGGCAATTACAATCCCACTAAAAGGAGGAAAAGGAACCTACAAGGGGTTGGAATCTGGGAAAAGATAGAGAAAAAATCCACCAAGAGTATGGAAAAGCAACAAAGATAAAAGGAAGAAAGAAAATAGAGGAAAGCAAACTAGAGAGAGGGAAAGAGAGAATGCGAAATAGAAGGGAACACCAGTGGCGGAGGGCTGTCGCAAGAGAGACGCAATTACAATCCCACTAAAAGGAGGAAAAGGAACCTACAAGGGGTTGGAATCTGGGAAAAGATAGAGAAAAAATCCACCAAGAGTATGGAAAAGCAACAAAGATAAAAGGAAGAAAGAAAATAGAGGAAAGCAAACTAGAGAGAATGCGAAATAGAAGGGAACACCAGTGGCGGAGGGTTGTCGCAAGAGAGACGCCGACAGCACCCCCCATGGCAGCCAAAAGATTATTAATTCAAGAGAGAAGGTAAGCATGAACTTTAGAGAGAGAAGAGGATATGGAGAAAGTTATGCTGAGCTTCAACTCTGCACTTCAAGATTCGGCGACATATCCAAGTGCTTTTAGGTTGCAGAAGAGGTAGAGAGATTTCATATTGAACGACCATACAACTTGTATTTAGTAACGCAAGCAACCCATAATGATCCATTGATCGTACTTCTGTCAACAAACTCCACATATTACGAGTAATGCATGCTCTATCCCATTTTTAAAGTCTTGAAAATATAAAACTACTAACATTTTTGGTTCAATATCTCGTTCTAGTTCCATTAGGAAAACATAGCTTTTTGGCCTGTCAGCATATGCACCAACATATTGAAAATAACTTCACACTACACATTAAATCATTACTATAGCCCCATAACATGCCTCTAACTCCCATTAAAATATTACTATATTTTTTCCAGAAATACCACTAAAAAGAAAAATCAAAAAATACCACTCATTTTTGAAATTTTCCAAAAATACCACCATTTCTCAAAAACCACATGTGGGCGCGGCTTTCGATGTAAACCACATGGGTGGGGGCGGTTTGGTCCAAAACCGCTGCCCCGCCCAGCGGTTTGGTTCATAATTTATTTTTTTGATAAATCGTAACCTAGGTGAAAACTTCAAACTAATGTATCTTTGTGCTCGGGTATACGATCGTAACGAATTTTTTTTATTCCGTATAACTTTTCGAGATCTTGCAAGCAACAAAAATCAGTTATGTGGAATAAAAATAAATTAATTTATCAAAGAGATTTATATCTCTCGATAAACAAAGAGATTTATATTTGATTTATGAGAATTTTTTCTTCCAACTATATTCCTTCTTTTTTATTATTATTTACCCCACCATTTACTCTTATCAGTACATTCTTAATATTCGGTTAACTACTATGAATATTTTTGTTAAAAGTAAACATGTAATTTAATTAAAAATTCACTACAAAATTAGGAAGCATTAGGGACAAATAAATGGGGACGAGTGTTATAGTATGTCTCCGGAAATGTAAATCTAAGTAATACAAGGGACAACTGTATAAAATTGTCCCTACAAAATAAGCCATCAATATTTAATTAGTTTAGAATCCTTTTAGCTGTCTCCAAAAGAAATAGTTTGGAGAAACTAGAAGTTGCAGCCGATATACAATTATAAGAAAGACTGATTAATAGGGTGGTAGTTTTTAAGCGGCGGATTAATAGGGATTTTTTTGTCCCCAAAACTATCGCTAGAGTGAGAAAGGGGTTCTTTTGCAGGGAACTATTTTCTTTAGCTCTCATGGACGGTCAAGACCATTAATTAACGGTCAACTTGGTATGTCAGTGGTCAGTTAGCATATTTTTACTTAAAATAATCATATTTTCCACAAAATTTCAAATTTTTTAACAGGAGATGCTTCTGAATAAGCATTGGATGAGCATATGAAAAAGGAGAGACTTGAGATTTATGGAGGGCGGAAATAATTTTATTGGTTACGTTTTTTCTCATTCTGCCAACAAAGAAGCCATTCGTTGTTCTTGTACAAAGTGCAAAAATGCAGTATATAAAGGTCGTTCAGAAGTTCAATTTCATTACTAATTCTTGCAACCATCGATCGAGGAATTGAAGGACTTATGGGGAGATAGAGTGGACATGTATGACACACATTCCATAAAGAATTTTCATTACTAATTCTTGCAACCATCGATCGAGGAATTGAAGGACTTATGGGGAGATAGAGTGGACATGTATGACACACATTCCATAAAGAATTTTCAATTACGTGCTTCAATTCTATGGACTGTTAGTGACTTTCAAGCATATGCAGATTTATCAGGATGGTCTATGAAAGGTTATCAGGCTTGTCCTTCATGGCACATGGACACTAGCACCCATTACTTGAAAGGGTCGAAAAGGTTGTGCTACATGGCTCATAGGAGGTGGTTGGCACATAATCATAAAATGGCAAAATTTTATGATCTTTTTACATTTAATTTCAAAATTTTATATGAAATGTTTTTCAATCTAATGTGATCAAGAGTTGAAATATTTATGTATTTTTTCATAGTATATTAATCTTTTTGGTTGATAATATTCATACAACACAGTTGACATATTTACGTTTATTCATACAACACACTTACATACCGTTTGGTATAAATGAATTCCATAAGTTTTGAGGAATTCATTTTGAAATGAAATCTTTTTGTGTTTGGTATCTGAAAGAATTCATTTTCAATTCTAAATTTTGAATTCTACGGAATTGGAACTAGTTATAGCAATTCCGAGGAATTGAGATGGAATTTTCAAATGAATTCCACAAGTATTTACTATTTTTAATAGAATGATATAATTATCCTATTTTATGAAGTAAATTACTTATACATATGACATACCAAACACAGGATTTCATTTGACAATGATTCTACACCGCAATTTATTGTATTTCTAAAGATTTGAATATGACATACCAAACACAAGATTTCATTTGAGAATGAATTCTACACGGGAATTTATTTTACAATGAAATGAATTCTTGATTCATTTGGTACCAAACAGTCTGTTAGAGTATTCAACATTGTTGTAATATTCAAATAACATATATAGCTAGGGTATTTAGTAGGCAATGATATTTGTGTGTCAATGTGATAAGAATAAAGTTGCGAAGACCATAGTATCAAATTGTATATACAAAATCAAATAACCTTATACGTTGAATAAATTTTAAAATCAATATCATAAAATATTGATTAATAATATAATATGTAATCCCCCCGCAAAGTGCAGAACAATTATCTGTTTAAAAAGGGGCGAGCCTTTTAGCCAAAAAAATTGGCGGGCCTTGGCAGCCATGTATTTGGATTTCATGATCAAATTCGATTGCTTGACTGATTTCCTTTCCTTAAGATAAACATAAACCCTTTTAATATCTTTCCGATCCTATCTCTAGTTTTTGCATATGTTACCCCTCCTATCTTCGATTCTTTTGGCCCCTTATTTGGCTTTGGCGGCGAAAATCCCGTCTCATGGGCTCGATATATTGAAGAACTGCGCTCCATCGTGTATGCTTTCCTTCAATTGATTTTGTAGAGATCTGCCGCGTGATGTGATTCTTATATGTCTTCGTCAGGTTTGTTTCAGTTCACGTTCTTCTTGGGTGATTTGCATCCCCAATCGATCTAGAGAGTCATTTGCACTGTGGTTGCATCTTTGCTTATTACTCTTAGATCCTCTGTTTCTTTAGCAGCTTCTTTGCTTATCTTTTCAAAGAAGCGCCCCCAACTCTTTCTTTCTGATCTGCATCCCTTGTTTCAATTGATTACATGTTCATGAAATTGCAAACGAACCCTAGATATCCTAATCTCTTTTGCATCCCTTGTTACTTTTTTTTTTTTTTTTTTGATAAATGAGGAAATTTTATTGAGACAGACAAAAGTCAACCAACAGTTGAAAAGAGCAAGGAAAGAAACAAAACTGAAAACAACAACGAAAAAACACTAAGAAAACCCCGAAAGATGGGACGAAAACTCAAACCAAGAACGACACAAAAAGAGAAAACTAAAAAAACAAAGAAAAAACTCCTCTCATGATACTACATTACAACAAAAACACACTCAAGAACAAAAACTATCTAACTAGTGGATAATATTCGGAACCATTCCAGGCACACGTCATCAGTAATCAACTTTCGAGCGAGCATCCATCTCCCAACCGAATGAATGATCTTATAGCAAATGCTTCGTGGTGGTTACTCCGTATCTCTGAAAACCCGATGATTTCTTTCCAACCAAATAAGCCAAAACACTGCATGAGGAAGAAACCTCTTGAACCTATTAAATCGAGAAAGACAAACCGCACCTCTCCATGCTATCAAAAACATCTTCGGGTCCTCTGGAAATGGCCCAAAGATTGAAAAGACCTTCCGGAAGGTAGACCAAACAGTAGAGGCAAAAGGACATGAGAAAAGAATGTGAGAGACGGACTCCTCATTGCACTTACATAATGGGCATCGGTTAGGGAAAGTCAGG